TCAATAGACTAAACTTTCACAGTTTCACTCCTCAAGCTGCTGAACATTGTTTGTGCACTTGGCCTCTGCTGAGTGTTTATGTACCATTTCTGCCTGCAAACCTAGGCCTGCCTGTCGTGAGGAGGACTGGTTTTACAGCTTTCCCTTCACCCTGTGGTTTCACGCCTTCGTCTGACACGTCGCTCAGACATTGGAATTTACATTTTAACCACTGACCGCGTCAGAGCAGCTTCAAAACAGACGGTACTGTACCAACTGCAATTTCTGAGCTTACATGCCAAAACGATAAGTTGCTGATATTTTACTTTCGTAGGTCCAGAGAAAAGATATGATCATGTTTACTTCATGAAAAAGTAAAAAGTCTAGAACATATGTCTCTACATTAACTTGTAGCCATGTGTGTTTGTTTTTAAATGCTGACAGAAAATGTGGTTGAACTTGTACTGCAGGTCATAACACAATAGCTTTCAGCTGGTTATGTGCTAATGATGTTGAATTGAAGTGATTTGATTGACTTGATTTCATCAAGTTGGCCGTCGTCATGTTATAGAGCTATCAAATTGTAATCTTTAACATAAACTCCAGTGAGATTGTGAGAAAAGCTGTAGAAATGTGGAGTAAAAATGAGGTCAGTGTGTTGTGGCAGACGTTCCCTCTGCTTCCTTTAAATAACTGGTTGATGTGTTTCAGAGTGTAAACAGCCCAGAGCGATGATGGGGAGGTTGTACTGAGGGCTGGACTAGAATAGAAACTCCAAAGAACTCTGGGAAATTGTCAACTCTTTATCGGCCACCATTAATATCTGTTGCTTTTCCCCCACTAATTTAGAGACTGCTGTTAGCGTGCAGAATTGGATGAAAGGACAACTTTCCCCACAAACACATTGGAGTATATTATATTTCAAAAGAATGCAAGCCTGCCTTTGGTCATGTTTTGAAAACTATATTTGAATTCTAAATTGTGGAAATGTTTAAAAGTGCAGAATTGGTCGGTTGGTTGAGCACATGTCACGTGTACATAAGTCTACAGGCTGCAGTCCGCATTGGTTTGGTCCCTGTTACATCAGCTTAAGTATAATTGCAAACCGTTTTTTAGCCTTTTTTTATCTCTGTGTAATTGCTATCTAATATTGATCAACTAGTGGATGATCACTTAAGTTTGTGTTGCAAGTTGCATTTAATGCATAATCTGCACTGCATGTGATCAGAGAGAGACACGCCTGCTCTTAGGTCTTCTCCTTAAATGAAATGATTGTAGTACTACTTCTCATGTTGAACATAAACTTTCTTATACCATTGTTGAAGGCCGTATGTCCTCTACCACATTTTTTTTGCGCTGGCAGCAACATTAATAATGTTTGCCCTCAGCCTAATATTTAAGCTACAGCCCAGTGTCTGAAAAACTGAAGGTATAGTACACAAAGGAAAGCTCCATGTTTGAAGTTTTGTCTAAATCGCACAGCATACACTGCACGAGGAAACAGTAGAACACTATTCACTAAATGAAAGTTTGTTTATGTTACCTGTTCTCATTATAGCGTCGTATACTCCCCCTCCTATTGGTTCGAGGGGAATTCTCTGGAGAATATCCTGCGGCGTTCTCACATCAGGAAAAAATACTGGGGGCCTGGCAGGAGAAACTCTGGGTGAAGTCCTTGCAAAAAAAAAAGTAGCTGTTTGCGTTCACATATACAATATAGTGCTTTCAACTCCTGAAGTTTTCAGGTGAGCCGCATATGTGAATGTACAAAGCAGAATTTTTTCACTGTAACTTTATCCAGAATTTCTCCTGCAACTCCCTGGTAATGTTTCCGCAGAAAGTCTGAGTGACATGAGAACTAAGGCTCTAATCAGGAGAATGTACCTGGAGCTGGTGGGAGGGGGTGGTAATGTTTTTTTCCTGTGATTGGTGCACCACCATTAACTGCAAGCGACTGTTTTGATCTCCATGCACGTGATAAAACTGCTGTATAATGTTTTCTTTTCATCACTATGTTCTTCTCTGCTCTCTTGATGATAATGCGATTCTGTGCTCTCTAGATGGCTTTTCAGTGCTGCACTTTTCTCTTTGCACAGTAATTGCGTAATTTATGTTTTACCCAAAGCATTTCTTCCCATTCAGGGGTAAAACCTTTGCATTTGCTGTGTTTTTCTCTTTCCACTCAGCTGTTAGTATTACTCATTGGTCGAATAAAAAAAAATAGATAGAAAGCAGAGCTGCTTGACTTCAGTTCATCCTCGTGTGTGGGAGAGTAGGGTCAGTTTTTTTCCCTTCGCCTGTCTCTTTTTCTTGGCAACGCCTGACCATCCACAAACGAGGGTGTGTGTGTATTGGACAGAGAAGCAGCAGCTGTTTTTTCGCCAACCTCATGACCGCTCTCAGCCCCCGTTTTCGGACATCTATTTTCTCCTCGTCTGTTCTATAATAACTCAGCGGCTGGATCCCCACTGCTGTCGTATTTCCTCCCATAGGGTGGAGCCAAACACACACTCTTGTGTCCCATGTACAAAATACACACACTTGTCTACTTGTCCACTCATCAACAGTTTTCCAGGCTATCTAGAGTACATATTCCACAGACCAACACAAAGAGCTGGTGCCCACTGTTGACTTTGACCTTTAACCTAAAGGGAGGGTTCCTCTGTAACCCTCAATGTCAGATTCAGTCAGCTGGTCTCCATTTGACTTTGGTCCAGACTAGTGAGCTTTGTAAACATTATCATGTCAAAGCATAATTCTCTCTGAATGTTCCTGTTCTCCAGAGGATGGGCCAAAAAGGTTTCCTCTTGCATTCACCCTAGACAAACTCTACAGGGAAACTCTGGTTTAATATTGATGCTGGCCAATAATTGCCCTGATTTCACCAATGACAATAGGCGATGTGTTTGTGTTTTGTTACATCAATTTAATGCTAACAAGCTACTCTACCTCACTGCCCATCCAGAGAAGATGTTTTTTATTGGGCAAAAGAATACATCTTCAATATGCAGTTTGTAAGTCTTGTTCCAGTGACAATTCAAGAGAAGAGAAAAGTAATGATTGAAATACATCTCATAGCTCATAACTCATTTGAAAGAGTGACACTAAGAATAACAAAGAAGTCATGAATAAAACATTGGTATCTAAATTGGCCCTGATATTGTAATCCATCCCAATCGGCGCATTAGTAATGCTATAAGATCAGTACTATATGTCATAAACTTAAGACCCTACCCTTACCTAATAGCCTAGGATTGTCAAACTTGAATTAATTAAATTATTTCGTAAGTAGTTTATAGATAACATGTTGATTAAATAAACATTTTTTACACATTTTCAAGTTGCATGGAAAATGTTGTTTGATAACACTCATAATTTATTGACTTTGATTTACATTTCTAACATTCAAGTCTTTCATCTGCTTGACTTAATTAAAGTTTAAAGCAATTAAAATGAGGATGCAGGTGACCTAGTGGTTAGTTTGTGTGCCCCATATGCGGAGGCTACAGTCCTCAAAGCAGGCAGCCCAGGTTCAGATCCCACTTCACCTGTGTTTCTTTTACAGCACGTTATCCCCCACTCACTCCTATCCTGATTTCCCACTATCTAATACTCTCTGTCTGTCTAATAAAGACATAAGAAGCCCCAAAAGAAGTCTTAAAAAAGCAGTTAAAGCCCTCCCCCAGTATTTTACCATGTTGATTGCTTGTTATACTGCACAAAGTGGAGTTATCAATGAATCAAACCGTTTTCAGTTGCTATATTTTATAAATTGTCTTTCTGTGTGAAGAGCTGTGGTATCTCTACTCAGACTCCACAAACTGGTGGTCTGTGCCTGACCCTGCTCTTTTCTCTCATGGTGTGAATATTAACTCACGCTTCAGATGTCAGCCTCCTTCACTAAATAAAGACTCCTTTAAGGAGCTCTGTGCTGTCAAATAAAAAGTCTCTGTGTGTGAGGGGGTGAGGAGGGATGGGGCTCCAACTGTCCACCACACTGCTCCACTTATCTCTTAACAAACAGCGACAAACCACAAACACTGACATCAACACAGAGCTGAAGATGTAGCTAATTCAAAGCCTCATGGGCCAGTTATCTGAACATTATAGGGTCTTTGTGGACTTCTTAAGGGGATGTCATGGGGAGATCCTATTGTCTATTTGAAAATGTGTATGGAAATAAGTATGTATGGTAGGGTAGGGTAGGTTATATAGGTTAATTACGCTAAATTCTCTAGCCCGTTTGTTCATAAACAACTTTAATTTGCCAACTTTGCTTCCCTGCAGTTCTCTTAACTCCTTTATACTTAAATTAAAATTTTCTTAAAATTGGCATCACAACTCCACCTCAGCTTTCTTTTAACCTGACCTACTTTTGAGCCACTTTACTCCGAATGATCACATTGTCTGGCCCCGGAACTTAAAATGTCAGTGATGGCTGGCCTCCGTCAAGAGCAGTGCACTCGCTATAAGTGGCACATATACTGTTGTGAACTTATATTAGCACCTTAAAGTCTAGATCCCAACTATAGGAAGATCTCACCTCATTCACATGTATTTCAAGGGAAAAATAGCCCTGTCTCACATATGGACCAATACGGTATTTGGGAATGAAATCACTTTAATTCATTTGAATATTCTAAAACGTTTGGTTTCATTTTCTACATGTTTATAAATCTATATCCCCTGTCTGACATTTGGGGTATATTTCAAATCCTTTAATATGTTGAGTCGCTGCAGCTTTTTGTACCAGATGTTTTGAGGTATGTTTTCTGCAGTGATGGCAGGTTCTTACAGTGTGACCACTTATCAGCTTGTGGTTTTGAAGTAGGTTACTTTCCAGTAAAATGTCTTCACTCACTTCTGAACTCAAAGCTGTTTTTGAGTCAGGAGTAAAATCACACTGATGAGCAACACCATCATGGAATTGTTCCAGTTTCTTTCCTGCACAGTCATGATGAAATGTTGAATAGGTGTTTGATGATAACTGAAATGTAATAAAGGTTTCTTTCTTCTGACAGGTTGGTGGATGTGATGTTAGTCTGACCTGACTGGCTACTCTGCTTCATCGACAGACTTTCCCATGGAGCCTTGTACCGACACGGACACTATTCTACCATGGAGCCACCAGTCAGGTAAAGAATACACACACACACGCACACACACACGCGCGCGCGCACACACATACACGTCAGTAAGTGTGTGTAATGTCTGCAGGATGTTTTTTTGTGGTCACATGAAAAACATTACTGGTCAGCTTTCTGCTCCTCTTAAGTTACCCTAAGTTTTTAAAACACTAGCATATGCACACTTGGTATCTCGTTTTTTTTTGTCATGGTTTTTGGTTTGGTTCGATTCTGACGGCCCAGCTTTTTGTAGTGTATTTTGGTAGTTGGAGTTTTGTTCCCTCAACTATTTAAGCTCTTAATAAGCTTCCATGCTGACTGGCTTCTTTCATTATGTGTTTCTTCCTTTTGTTTATGTTTCTTCCCGTGCTACGTTGTATACCTGTGTACCAAATGTGCCTCTGTACATGGGGCACATGAACTAACCACTGGGCCACCGGTGAACCTATTCCTTCAAACATTTTTGCCGCCTCTCCCCCATTTTTTTTTTGAAGGGATTAACATTTGACCCTTGGATTTGAGGCAGTGCTGGCCAATCAGGATGCTTCCTGGCTTTTAATTGTGGGCTCTGATCTGGTTATTTGAGCTGTCATCTGCTTTGATTAATAACCACAGAGCAGGAGAGCAGGAAGAGTGGTGATTACACTGAGCCTGAAGGCTGCATCTGGACCTGTGTGTATGTCAGAGAAAAAGAGAGCGAGAGAGAGATGTAAATTAAGTCATGCTTTACAAAGGGAAAGTGTATATGTGTTTATCTTTGTGTGTGGAAAGTAAAGTCATGATTTGAAAAAGTCTGCAAATTCAAAGAGTTTTTCTGCATCCCAATAAGTTTCCTATTTACAGTATCAATGCTATGTGTATTACAGTGTAATCACAATGTTGACAAAAGAGCAGAGAAGACCATACTGACAAGTCAGAGTGAAAAATGTGGCTGTTTGCGTTCACACATACAGCGCCTCCTATCAGGAGTTTTCTGGAAATCTGAAAACCCTAAATCAATATGGCTTTCACACTTCTCCGCTCTTTTGCTTACATTGTGATTTCGCCAAATCAGACGTAGCATTGATATGAAGGTCTGACGTCTGACAGGAATAGTCTCCCACTGTGAGGAGCATATGTGAACAGCCAGTTCAGGAGAATATCCGGAGCAGTCCTCTTGGAATTTTATTTTCAGGAGTGCGTATGTGAAAATGGCTTTAGTTAGTGAAACCTAACAGCTCTATCTCTCAGCTTTAATGAGGTCAGTATTTCCTGAGCAGTTTCCCGAGCAGTCTAACTCTGCTGATGAGTTTTCAATAAGAACCTGGCCGTCTGTTAAAATGAGGCAGATTGCTGCCTTTTGTGTCATGACGACGTGACTCAAGTGTCTGAGTTTTCAAACAGAGCCGGCCAGTCTGCAGCTCAAAATCACTCCCATATGTTTCTCTGCAGGACTGCATGCCCCCTTAAACCATGCTAGATGCTTTATTCACACACTATCACAGCACTGCTCAGATCACATTGGTCCAGGTAGTTTTATAGTCTACAATTAATACCAATATAGTATAACTTACCAGTAACATATCTTTGTAGTTCAGACTATTAAGACCCTTTTCAGACTGAAGGCCTTCTGTAGTGTCCACAAAAAACACATTATACACGTTAATCATCTTACGAATAATTATATTTTATTGAAGATCTGTTCGCAGCAATTGATGTAAAACAAGTTAAGAGTTCCTTGTTTTATTATCATAATATAAATCTGATCTAGAAATAGCTTTACTACGGCAAAAAATGTCAGTTAGGTTAAGTTGCAAGAATAAAGATAATATTATATCAAATGTAATATATTATTATAATCTGTCTATTGGCGCTTACAGATGTGCCAGCACCCCCTAATATAATGGTAGGTGAAACACTGCCTTATTTGCCATCAGAAGTAGTAACAAAGACAGCACCGTGAGACAGAAAAGCACTGTGTTTGTGTGTTAGTGAAGCTCCTGCTGTGTGTTTACACGTCATGCCTGTTGTGCTTCTACAACACATTGATACCGATAAAATGTTGTACATAGGGGTGGGGGATATATTGATTCTGGTGACTGTTTTTTTTTTTATTGGACAATAGAAAAACAATCTTGGGATTGATAGTGGTGACATCATATTGGTTAACAGCCAATGTGATCAATGAGCAAAGAGAGAAAATAGAGGATAAAAGATGCCTTGTTTTCCTCAAAAAGCCCTTTTTAAGTTGTTCTGTGCACTGTTTCTCATGATTGTCAATGCTCTCTCCTATCGTCGGATTTAACTTCTGTTTTATTTTTTGCAATACAAATCGCATTGTCACCTAATAAACGTGATAAAATGGAATTGGTACAAAAGAAAAAAAATCATCCCAGCCCTAGTCGTTCAGGATAAAATGTGTAAGAACAAAGATGTAATGAAGACTGCAGCGGTACTACAATCTGTAAAGGGCTTTTGAGGATATTGAGAACTTCTTAAATGTTCTTGTGCTCAGGGATAATGCTTTTTATAAAACTACAGCATCAGTGAAGTTTTTGTGAGGATTGAGCACAAAAAAGGAGATGAGCTGCAGTGCTTAGGTGAAGTGATTGATATGCCGAACTGAGCGAGTGAGGAGTGTTTATCTTTACTGCCACTCAGTGAACACTCCCCGTGGTCGGCAGGGTTTTCATTCCACTTTTTATCACAAACTCTATCAGTCATAAATTCCTCAGACGCTCATCTGACTGGTTTATGAGTCTCTGGTGAGTGTTCAGTTACACCATGGCTCTTTATTTTATTTTTTTTCATTTTTTAAATAAACAACCATATTTTCATTTGTTTCTTTTCCGTTGGTATCAGTGAATGATTTAGTGTCAAAGGTGACACTAAATAATGAAAAAAACAGCTGTTAAATCTTCAGGTTAATGTGTCACTGTCCTGAGGGCTGACACCTCAAAACAAAAGTTTGAACCTGGTGTAGAAGTTCCATTCAAATACAGAATTAATAGTCTATAAATTGGGCTTACTTCATGTCAAATTAAATATTGTGAACACTTCACACAATTGAAGATCCACTTCCAAACTGGAAAACTATTTTCATTTTCTCTCACTCTTCCTATATGCCACACTTCTTCTGTCTTCAACTCTAAAGCCATTTATTTTTCATCTTAACTTTATATTACTGAGTGTGAATCAATATTCATACTTATTTTTGTACTTCTAGGCTTCTTTATTGAGATTCTTATTCAGCAGGTACACAAACACACAGGTTTGCACACATTGACACACAGGACCACCTATATCGTCATGTAAACCGTGCTCGTCTCTGTGGCCTGGCTGAAGTTTCCGAGACGACACGGTGGATGAAACCAGCCGACCTCCCTGCACGGAGTCCGGTCTCTGACCAGACCACCCACCTACGCATACACACACTCACTCACTCGGGGCCAATGAGCTGTCTGCTGCTATTACAAATATATTTTAGTATTTTATTTTGTATCCCTCCGGGAAAAATCGTCTGGGCTCTAGTTCTTCCAGTTTCCACTCCTTCACACTGGGATGTGACCAGTCAAGACTGTTAGTGGCTGCTGCAAACACTTTTGTAGCAGCTGAGACAGACAAAGATTTTCTCTCAAAACAAAAATGTATATATGAAAGGGGGTTAATGTGATTGACAGCAAATAAAAGCAGGAAAGGATAGCTCTGTGAAATGAGGGTGGGGCTAAACATCAAACTTCCTGCCTTTGGGACCGAGGTGAAAGATTGTAGCTGTTCTCACAGAAAGTGAGGACGCTATCAGAGCTGCAGTTTCCTGCAGTGTAGATCAGGAGGTGTTTGTGAGTGTGGTGTGTTTTTCCATTACCTGGTTCCTACATTCCAGCATCAGTTGAGTAGGAAGGGGGAAAGGAAAAGAGAGAAGGAGTCATTGAAATGCAGTAGGATGAGGAGGGGGACTATACTGATAAGCAGAAGAGTTCAGCAAAGATTCTTTACGACAACAAGGCAGAAAAAAAGTTAATTCTTCGTATTTTTACAGTAATATATCACCAATCTTTTAAACGAGTGTCCTATTTTTTATCATGTAGAAGTTTAATCATTGTCTTTGTTTAAGAAAGTTTGTCTTTGTTTGTGTTGGATGGCAGAGATCAAGTTTCGAAGTGTTGAGGAACCTTCATGGGGTAGAAATGCATCGATTTGTTAAAGGGGGGGGCATCTAGGGATGGGTTTTGAGAATGGGTATTTATTGGTACTACTAAGTGATTTGTCAGGACTGGAAATATCGAAAGTTCATTGACAAACCGTGCTCCTATTGGTATTTAAGTTAACAGTCTCATTATCTATGCTGGGCAAGTGGGACCCTTACTTATGCAGGGGTGGCATCTAGTTTGTGTGCACATACGAATAATAGCATGTATTTACCCTTTCTACAACGTATCTTCAATAATCTTATTTTATTGGTCAAAGCTTCACACAACAGTATGTTAGGTATTAAATTGTATTCAGATTTCAAATATGAATTAAAACCGCAAGTGTTGATGAAGGGCCCTCTCACCCCTGTACATGGCGGGTGTGTCGCGACCGTGGGAGTGCAGCAGGATTTGGCTAAGCAGCCGGCCTTGCAGTTCAATTTGTGTAAAAAGCCGTAGTACTTGGAAATTCGAAAAGGCAATGCTATGAGATTCAGAGAATATTGGTATGCAGAGTGGTTCATGTCGGAACTGTCATGATTCACAGCTGCAAAATGTGCTGCTGCATTGGCGTTTTTTGCCGTTTTCACATATGCACTCTGAAATTATGCAGATAATAGTCATTTAAAACACATGCAATGTGTTATTTATATATGTGATCAAACAGATCAAATCAAAATTCTTTACATTAAGTATTTTTAAAAAGCCGTCAGACAATAACGGCATCAATAAAGCGTGTTGAAAATCTTAAAAGATTATCTCTCGACTGGAGGAGGCTGACTGCATCCCAGCCTGAAATGATCCTAGAACGAGGAGCACAGGCGAACCCGCACCTTTGTT